AGTGGCCAGCCCAATCCCCGGATCTTAATCCAATAGAAAACTTGTGAGTTGACAACAAAAATGAAGTTTCTGAGGCAAAACCAAGAAATAGAGAAGAACTGTGGTAAATAGTGAATACTTGTGAGCTATTATGAATGAGGCATTCAGTGGGTTATAAATAATTATCTACTGATATAATGTGCTTGGTGCGCTGGCACTTACACAGACTCACTTACTAGTGTTTGTTCAGTAATATAAATATATTTATAGTGCCGCGCTCCTATTTTTGTATATATATAGCTTAATCCAATCTACTCTCATTCTAATAAATACATAAATTGATACCTAAAAAAATACATAAATCACTGTGACTAGTGAATAAGAAATAAATAAATTGTGAATCACTGTGACTTGTGAATCAATTAAGAATGGATGAATATAAATAAATCAAAAACCTTAATTAATGTGGCTGATATCAAGCAATCAAAAATCCTTAATAATGTGACTAATAAATGGATAAAAATGGGGTATATAAAAACCTATATTGACCATCCAGATGACAGATGAGCTTACCCTTTCCTTGAAGTTGCCTATTGAAACTGTTGAGTAGCTCTGTTACATCTGTCAGGAAGAACAACCCCTTTTTGCTGGAGCTGAGCTTCCAACTGTCAACACATCTGGACGGTCAATATTTCTGTTTTAATCACCTGGAAGTTTTGTTTGATTCTCTCTGCCGTGAAGCTCTTTGCAAGGACAACAATCCCTCTCTGCAGTAGATAACGCATCGCCACCTGCACTGCTGACCGTCCAACTTTCTTTGCCACTTCTATGACAACAGGATTTTCCAGCACATAAGGAGGATATGAGAAGGAGGTGACCCCAGGAGGGGAACTAGGAGATTCCTATAGAGCTGGTCAAAACACCCATCTATGAGCAGCTGCACAAGGAACATGACGAAGTGGAATTCGTTCCGAAGATTTGGAAAAATTCTCTTCGCGACGAATCCGAAGATTAGCAAACTTCGGATGCACGAATCGAATTTTCCCAAAAATGGCGGCGACATGTGTGGCGACGGAGAAAATGGACAGAGAAGATGGGGCGGGGATCTCTGGGAAGGCGCGCAGACAAGGCGCGCGCTGACCCATAATGCATTCATGACATGTGATCGCATTAGCCAATCAGCAGCCAGCCAGCACTATAAATTGCGGCCATCTTAGAATTCTCCATTAGCCTCCGGTCATTCAAGAGAGACAGACCTGTGTGTATTAAGGGACAGAGTTAGGGCCACAGAGACTTTAGGGCCACAGAATCGTTACTCAGGGACACAGAATCGTTACTCAGGGGACACAGAATCGTTACTCAGGGACACAGAATCGTTACTTAGGGCCACAGCTATCAAAGAATCGAAAATTTAAAGTGACATACACCCTTTTTTTTTTTGGTGGCTGTCGTGCACAGTTGGTGCTGCAGTTTGCCGATTGTGCAAAATAAACTGACTTTCTTTCTGCTTCACAACCACTATTGTACGTTCAAAGAGTTAATCCATTTACACGCCGGCTGGCGGTAATATTTTTTGGGTGATTAGTGCATTCCAGTGACATAAACGTACAGTTTCCAGCCAACGGCAAGCTGCAATTGACCGATTGTGCTAAATAAACTGACTTTCTGCTTCACAACCACTATTGTACGTTCAAAGAGTTAGATCCATTTACACGCCGGTGGCGGTAATATTTTTTTTGGGTGATTAGTGCATTCCAGTGACATAAACGTACAGTTTCCAGCCAACGGCAAGCTGCAATTGACCGATTGTGCTAAATAAACTGACTTTCTGCTTCACAACCACTATTGTACGTTCAAAGAGTTAGATCCATTTACACGCCCGGGTGGCGGTAATATTTTTTGGGTGATTAGTGCATTCCAGTGACATAAAAAACGTACAGTTTCCAGCCAACGGCAAGCTGCAATTGACCGATTGTGCTAAATAAACTGACTTTCTGCTTCACAACCACTATTGTACGTTCAAAGAGTTAGATCCATTTACACGCCGGGGTCCGGGTGGCGGTAATATTTTTTTTTGGGTGATTAGTGCATTCCAGTGACATAAACGTACAGTTTCCAGCCAACGGCAAGCTGCAATTGACCGATTGTGCTAAATAAACTGACTTTCTGCTTCACAACCACTATTGTACGTTCAAAGAGTTAAATCCATTTACACGCCGGCTGGCGGTAATATTTTTTTGGGTGATTAGTGCATTCCAGTGACAGTGAAACGTACAGTTTCCAGCCAACGGCAAGCTGCAATTGACCGATTGTGTACAAATAAACTGACTTTCTGCTTCACAACCACTATTGTACGTTCAAAGAGTTAAATCCATATACACGCCGGGTGGCGGTAATATTTTTTGGGTGATTAGTGCATTCCAGTGACATAAACGTACAGTTTCCAGCCAACGGCAAGCTGCAATTGACCGATTGTGCTAAATAAACTGACTTTCTGCTTCACAACCACTATTGTACGTTCAAAGAGTTAAATCCGGTTTTATTTTTTGGGTGCTTATTGAATTAAAGAGTATGTCAGACAACACGCAGAGGAGTGGCAAGCTGAGGAGGCAATGTTTTCAGGAGCGAGCAGACGTGGCAGCAGAGGAAGGGGTCGAGGCAGCACTAGTCGCAGCCAGAGGCCAGTGCTCCCCCCCGGTGTCATCCAGCGGTCGTGTCTCCACCGACAACCCTGCCGTCATCGATTGGTTGACTCGGTCGTCTTCCTCTTCCCAGGTCACCTCTGACACCTACAGCCAACGGTCGGTGGGTACGTCAGACACAACCGTTAGTTGGCATGGCCCGGGAGCAAGCCCACTGAAATCACGTGTCCTCGACCTGCCCCTGTCCTTTGGTGTTCCCTCACCAAGCGAAGTATCGCATGCTGTGGGCTCAGCCCCACTGTACAGTGAGGAAGAGCTAACAGAGGGCGGTCAGGAACGGGGGGAGACATCCGCCTCTTCAGCAGCCAGGCGAAGAAGTACTGGCGAGGAGAGTGTGCTCGGTAGCCGGTCTAGAGACAGGTCTGTCTCCTGACCCACACGCAGCCGAGGGGGCTAGTAGTGACGCGGAGACCCTAATTGATGATGATGAGGCTGATCGCACTTGGCAGCCTCGTCGTCATCAGGCTATTGCTTCCGCATCATCAGGAGAAGAGGGTGCCAGCTTGCCAGCGAGCAAAACAGTCGGTGGGTTGCCCAGGAGGCAGCAGGGTTCAGCAGTGTCAGTGGAGCCAAACGGCCACGGGAGTAGAGCACCAGCTCCACTGCAGCCTACCACCACGGCCAGTAGTGGTGCCGGTGTGCACGGAGGAAGTAGCAGTCAGCCAGTGAGGAGTAGCGGGGGCAAAGTTTCCTACTCGGCGGTGTGGCAATTTTTTTTTCGTCAAGCCGCCCGAGGAAGTAAACGTAGCCGTATGTCGACTATGTGGCCAGAAAGTCAAGCGTGGCCAGGGGGCCAATGTTGGGACTACAGCGTTGCGTCAGCATATGCAGCGTCGCCATTCGGTGGCCTGGGAAAACCGTGATAAAGATACGGCGGTTCTGCCTGCCCAGCCCCCGCTCCATCACCCGCTCCGTTACTTGCTCCGTCACCCGACGTCAATCGCCCTCTATCAGCCAGTCAAGGCTCCAACACCTCTGCTGAGGGGAGTTGTCGCTCGTTGGCATCTTCCGCTCGTTCAGATGCTCCTTCTCCTGCTACTCCTCTTCACGGATTCCGTCAGCAGTCTTTCTTGGAATCCGTTTCCAAGAGACAACAGTTTGCGAGCACGCACCCGACGGTGCAGAAGCTGAACGTCCTCCTGTCCAAGTTGCTGGTGCTGCAGTCCCTCCCTTTCCAAGTGGTGGACTCAGCACCTTTCCGAGAAATGATGGCTTGTGCCGAGCCGCGGTGGAGAGTGCCAAGCCGGCATTTCTTCGCCAAAAAGGCAGTGCCAGCCCTGCATTCACATGTAGAAGAGATGGTGGGCCAGTCTTTGAGCATGTCGGTCTCTGCCAAAGTGCACGGCAGCGCCGACGTGTGGAGCTGTAACTACGGTCAGGGACAATACATGTCATTTACGGCCACTGGGTGAACGTGGTGCCGGCACAGCCGCACCAGCAACTTGGACAGGTCACGCCGCTTTTGCCTCCACGTTTGCACGTCCTTGGTCCAGCAAAGATGTCCGCCTCTACCACCTCTTCTTCCGCCGTGTCCTCAGCCGCCACCCCCGTGCCAAGTCCCATTACCCGACCGGCATATCACATGTGCAGGGCGCAACGGTGTCACGCTGTGCTGCACCTGGTATGCCTTGGCGAATGTAGTCACACAGGGGAGGAACTTCTGAGTGTAATGAACAGACACCAAAGGGCAGCACAGACCTGTTATTACTCGCTCAAGCATGGCTGAACAAAACCAGTCTCTACCACAAATTGGACCCAGACCTGCCCAGGGTCTCGTAACTAGATTGCACGGAGGAGTAGAGCCGTTATCGGAATTAAATAGACAAAACGCCACACCAAAAAGAGTGGCCAGTTCCAACACTTATTCCAGAAAGAGGAACAACCCGTTTCATATACGGCCCGTAGACGTTTCACGTCTGCCACATTCAGTCGATTTAAGACGCAAGCTCCACTTCCTGTGGTCTCTGACCGTCGATATACCTTTAAGTGTCAGCTTTGAAGCTATATTCCCTCCGGAGCACTGACACTGGTGCCCTTCCGTCAACATGCCTTTAAGTTTCAGTTTTCAACCATATTCCCCACAGAAGCCAAACTCTTGGGTATCCCAGAAGCTGCTCAGCGGGTCAGGGCAATAAAGCTCCCGGTTCGCAGGTTGTTCCGTCTTATGGATGGAAGTACGACGGTATATGATCTTCTTCGCACCCACGGCATTACTTCGTAGAATTTCTGCATTGCATCTGCAATCACAACGCTGACTTCCCGGATCGCCACTCAGCCATTGGACTCTTGATAGTCGTCTCCCCACACTGCTGCTGGGGGGACACACTGCTGCTGGGGGGACTTTTTAACCTAGGCCTGTGTATGGCCTTCAATTGAAGCTGCTTCCCCTCCGCCACTCTGCCATGGGCCTCTTGGGTATCCCCCCAAGCTGCTGCTGCGGGTCAGGGCAATAAAGCTCCCGGTTCGCAGGTTGTTCCGCCACTCTGCCATGGTCCCCTGTACCGCCTCCTCTTGCTGCTGCCAGGTCCAGAGTGTGTCATGGGTCCCTGTACGGCCTCCCATTGCTGCTGACTTCATCGCCAGACTCTGCCATGTGCCACTTTCAGGTCTCCTTACACTGTTGGTGGGTTCCATTTTGTGATAGGGTGCTGTATGGCCTTCCATTGCTGCTGCCTCCACCGCCACCCTGCGCCATGTGCCTCTGTCGTCTGCTCATGCTGCTGACGGCTTCCGCTTTTTAACCGAGGCCTGTGTTTGGCTTCCGAATACTGCTGCATCCACCGCCACCCTGCGCCATGTGTCTCTGTCGTCTGCTCACGCTGCTGACGGCTTCCGCTTTTTAACCGAGGCCTGTGTATGGCTTCAGAATAATGCTGCCTACACCGCCACCCTGCGCCATGTGCCTCTGTCGTCTGCTCACGCTGCTGCCAGGTCCATACTGATTCATGGCCCCCTGTACCGGCTCCTCATGAACGTGGTTCAGCGGTTTGCATCACTTAACGGCAAATCGTTGACAAACGCTGGGACGTTCAGTGTTGTGCGCATTAAGCCAGACACCAAAGGGCAGCACAGACCTGTTATTACTCGCTCAAGCATGGCTGAACAAAACCAGTCTCTACCACAAATTGGACCCAGACCTGCCCAGGGTCTCGTAAGTAGATTGCATGGAGGAGTAGAGTTCGTTATTGGAATTAACTGTGAGGGACTTTTAAACCTAGGCCTGCGTATGGCCTTCAATTGAAGCTGCTTCTGCTCCGCCACTCTGCCATTGGACTCTTGATAGTCGTCTCCCCACACTGCTGCTGGGGGGACTTTTTTAACATAGGCCTCTGTATGGCCTTCAATTTTAGCTGCTTACGCTCCGCCACTCTGCCATGGGCCCCTGTACCGCCTCCTCATGCTGCTGCCAGGCCCGTAATCTGCCATGGGCCCCCGTACCGACTCCTCATGCTGCTGCCAGGCCCGTAATCTGTCATGGGCCCCTGTACCGCCTCCTCATGCTGCTGCCAGATCCAGAGTGTGTCATGGGTCCCTGTACGGCCTCCCATTGCTGCTGTCTCCATCGCCTCACTCTGCCATGTGCCACTTTCAGGTCTCCTCACACTGCTGGTGGGTTCCATTTTGTCATAGGGTGCTGTATGGCCTCCCATTGCTGCTGCCTCCACCGCCACACTGTGGCTCCACACTCTGGTTTTGGCCCCGTGACTGCCCAAATGAGTGAAGTGTGCGGTGATTCTAAGGTCGACGGCACTCATCTGCATGTCATACTGACTGACAGTATTATTTCTCTTCCCCAGCAGACTCCAAGGGCATTTAAATTAAAGGTACAGTGTTCTGCACTAATATAAAGGCTCTCTGAAGCCTAGAAACACCCTTTTTATAAGTTAAATTCGCAGCGAATATATTCGGCTCGAAGCGAATTTATTTGGCGAATTCGGCGAATCAGCCGAACCGAATTTTTGAATAATTCGCTCATCTCTAATTATAATCAAAATCTTGTGTACCTTTGTCTACGTTGTATTTCTTTTAAGCTGGCCATGATTTTCCATCACTTTCCATCATTGGGAATCACAAGAAATCACCAGAAACAAAACAATATACCACCAATGAGCTCAATAAACAACCAGAATTTGTTAAACAATAATCAATACAGTGACAGATTTAATACAGTTTATTGGAAGATTGAATCAAAAATATGAATAAAGGAAAGCAATGCCTTTTCTAAAAGGATTGGTTGGGGCAATTCTGAACCCATCTCTTATACCGTTGGCCAAAACCACCATTTTAAGTTTCTGATTGCTTTGTGATTTCCACAAAAAAAGTGGAATTGAAAATTGAATCAAATTTCCACATGTATGAACATGTAAGGGACCTGGATTGGACAGTGGTTCCCGCCTAGCTGGCCCAAGTTCCACCCCACTTCTTTTCCAGATAGGATACATATATACTTGACTTTTGAGAGAGACTCCACTATATTGTGTCACTGATACACCTGGCCAGAGGCCAGCCTTTACTGTAGTATCCACATTTTCCAACCTGAGGCTCTCCACTAGAATAAAGAATATCCACACCCAAATTGCTTTTCCGTGCTCAACTGTGGAACCTTTTTAGCACAGCAACTTACATCTTCCTCCTTCACAATAGTCACAGTGTGGAGCACTTCGGTGCCATAAACACAGAACAATAAAGTCCAACCAATAAACTCTGTAGCTGATTTCTGCTCCTTCTCCTCACTTGTGAGTTCCTCTTCATCTCACACTTTCTGTCAGTTCTGTCCCTTAGGACTCTCACTGGCACAGATCACAGACGTATATTGTGTTGGTCAGGGATAACCTATTCCCATGCTCCCTTCTCCTTGTGCTCCACTCGCAGCTGATAAATAAAGGGTACAGACTCCACCCACTACCATCGCCAGAGGAGTGGCACCTCTTAACTACACCCTACAACTGCCATCAAATAGCTTTAGGGTTACAAGTAATGGTTAAGATTTTAGCAATTTATCCATTGCATGGCAAAAAGACCTTGCAAGTTGTCATTTATGGACATGACTGAGAGACTTATTTATTAAGTCCCTTCAATTAACCCTCTAAATGGACTGTGTGAACATAGGCACATTTGACTATAGCACCCATTTAAGACACAATTAATAGTTACAAAAAATGTAAAAATACAGTAAAATAACAATTTTAATACCCAAGAAGGGAGCCTTTAATCCCAAACTGAAAAGACTCAGGCTTCAGCTGAACCTCACAAGCTTGAGAACGTCTTTCTCAAACATGAAGTTCTCTGGGAACCCCAAGGGATCCCAAGATCAAGGCTGAAAGCCATCTCTGTAGCTCCTCCTGTCAGGTGACCCACAACCCACCTAACTTGACACATTTACCCTTTTTTCACCCCTAGTCATGCAGTCACTCCGTCATTCTTTTCTTTTTCCCTGGGGCTCACTCTTTTACTATTCATTTTGGTCAGAAAGAACACCGTGGTGGGTCCTGTTGATTTTCTAATGCACAACCTGTAACTTTACATGAGAGATCCATCTGTCACTGGCCCACATTTGAAAGTATAAATCAAGTTTATCCTAACTTCATACAAGTTTCTCTGAGTATGATGTTGACATAGGGGCCACATCTCTCATAAATCTGCCACATACACTAGGCTGACCACTTGCCTCTAGGTTGCTGTGCAGTCTTCAATATGCAAGCTGACCCAGCCAAATATTTAGACTGCAAACTTTAAAACTTTAGTCAGGTAATTTGGCAAGGTGTACATGCCAGCTGTGTGTGGATTATTGCTCCATCAGAGGAGAGCTTGTGTTTGTTGGAACTACAGAGAAATGTTTACTCACCACCGCTCCCAGCCTGACATTAATTGCTGAAGGAAATTTAGCTTTTAAGCTTCCAAAAAGAACTTTTGGATGCAAGAAAGATTAGCAAAACATTTAACTAATTCCATTGGACTTTACATATGGAAGAATTGTTTAGCAAAGCTCTCGTGAATGTTGGTGGTTGCTTAGAAATGTTATCACAGGTAAGGGACTTTTTTGTACAGCTACTACGTTACATAAATATTACTATGAATTATTCCTGAAGAGGAAGGGAAGAAATAATTGAAATTCTCAAGCTATCCACAAATCTTTTGTCAGAAATTCCAGCTAGTTTACCTTCAACTTGGGTTTTGGGTATCATATTTTAGACAGATTCAATAGACTTTTTGCATTGATTCTGGTTGTGATGCCATCTCTTTTCATTTGATTCCGTGCCCTGCAACGTTATTCTTGGAAAATTACAGAATATGGTTGCTAATTATCTGGTGTTCTAAGATCTCAGTGCTCAATAATAAGCAGGGTAAATCTCCTAGATTGTAAGCTCTAACAAGCAGGGCCCTTGCACCAAATTGTATTGTAACTGTAATGTCTACCTTCACTTTATAAAGCACTGTGCAAACTGTTGGCGCTATATAAATCCTGTATAATAAGAAGAATCTTTTTGGATTTCATCCTACTTTTATAGCTTCATATTGGTTCTTCTATTAAACCAGTAAACACTCTTTCTAAGTCTTCTCTACCACTTGCTATAAGTGTCTGTCCTTCAGTTCATGTCTCATTTGAACTGAGCCTGTTAGGACGGTCTTGTGGAAGTTAAAGTGTAGATATAGCCTTTTTTTGCTTTTGTTTTGGATAGTGTAGGGAAGAGTTAAAGCCCCTGCCAGATTATGGTTTTTCCAAATTGAGAAGAATTCCCCTCCCAGAAAGTTGTCTCTGAAACAAGTGTTCTATTGGACAATTTTCTCTTACCTCTTGTTCTGAGGACATATTTTGGACTTCCTCTCATTTTCATTCCTGTGACAATAATCAGCAGTTGATGAATCCCCCCAGTGGGAACACACCTAGTTTGTGCTGAAGACTATGCTGGACTGACTTGATCAGTCACTGATTGTGTGTGGGGGGGAGTAAGGAGATGTCCCTCCAGTATGTCTTGCCCATTGGTGGATACTTGTGGTGAACCCTCTTAGGGCTTGGTTGGCTGCCTTTCTGGCACGGCCTTAAGGTCGTTTCCACATGTAAACTTGAATAACAGGTGCACCCGATGTCCAAAAGAATGCAAGTTCAATGGTAAATTAAGAAACGTTTATGAGAATAGCGATAAATATATAAATCCAATGCATTTCATGAAATAAGGGTTCTCCCTTCTTCAGTTGCTGCACGCTATTAAAAGGGAATGATTTTCATGCCGGGTAAATACAGTATTTGTAACATTTTGAAGGTGAAACTGACAAAGTGACAGCTGATGTTCCAAGGGCTTCACAAATACTGTATTTAACTGGCATGGGTGCAATGTGTGTAAATAAATAAATATATATATACATATACTCTCACCAGCCTCTTTACTAGGTACACCTGTTCAATTGCTTGGTAACACAAATTGCTAATCAGCCAATCACATGGCAGCAGCTCAATGCATTTAAGTATCCAGACGTGGTGAAGCCAACTTGCTGAAGTTCAAACTGAGCATCAGAATGGGTAAGAACATAGCATGGGAGTTGGTGCCAGATGGACTGGTCTGAGCATTTTAAAAACTGCTAATCTACTATGATTTTCACACACAACCATCTCTAGGGTTTACAGAGAATAGTCCGAAAAAGAGAAAATATCCAGTGAGCGGCAGTTGTTTGAATGAAAATACCTTATTGATGTCAGAGGTCAGAGGAGAATGGACAGACAGGTTTGAGATGATAGAAAGGCT